TTGGTATATTAATGGGAAAAATACTCAATTACTGCAATGAGTCCATTTTTAAATTTACTGCATTTTTTTCGGCCCCATTTTTGATAATCGAGCTTCATAATTTAATTATCAGTTTTAGTTTTGTTGTAGTAGACCTTAAGCGTCATCTTTGGATCACCCTGTACAATATTACATATTATAAAATTAACACTTTCCATTGATTCCTGTCTTTCTATCGTTGTTTCGGTTTTTTGTATTCTTGGTCATCCGCGTCCTTCGAGTGTACTTATACGGAGTAATTCTAAATCAGCAACAATTGCTTACTCTTATAAGCGGTGGCTGGAGAGTACGAGAAACATGTTTAAATAACCTTCTTAGTTTATTTCTCAAATAAATTTGATTTTTAAAATATTACTGTAACATTAATAATTAGTTCGCTTATTAGTAGGATACGGAAATATTGCTTTATACTATATGCCCTACTCGGATAAACGACTTTTCGGTTAAACTTCTTCTTGTGTCCATACGAATATTTCCTTCGCCATCCATCTTCGTTCATTTACAACATATAAATTAATTGCTTGGTTTTGCCTTTTTCATTGAATTTTATTAGTTTTGGTTGGTTTTGGCTCTTTCATTGAACAATTATGTACCTACCTTTCGAATAGCATACCCTATCATATTATAACTTTAATACTTGTTATATTAAATACCAATTAAAATTAAGAGAACAATAAAATAGAGAGAATAAGAATATCATTTAACAAAATTAGCGAATTAGTGAACATTCTTAATCGGATAGGCTGATAACACCTACAATTCCCATGCGTAATGTCCATTGAGGCATTTGAATCTCTTTATACCCGACGGAAAAATTACATTTTGTAATAAAAATGCAAACAAGTTTTATCGATAGCATGAATTCAAAAGTGTTTATTCCCTTCATACAAAAAAACGAAAATTGATTAATTTCCCTGCCAGTGAAAAGGGGCGCCCGCATATCCTTTTACTTCTTAATTAACAGTAATGAGTTAATTACCCAAATTTAATTGCACCTGGTGTTTTCCGACAGTGATTGACATATGCCAGAAAACCGGTGCTGCTGCACTAGCTGCATCGATTTTATGCAGGTGAGATATTATAAATAGACGCAAAAACGCTTTAAAGGGGATTTAGTGAATAGCTAAACAAACAAGTGCCGACACTGCGTTTTTAAATTGTACATATGTTTGACGAATTTGTTTAATTCTTTATTAGCCATATATCGATTTATTTTTCTCAATATTTATTAGATGAAAATTATTATTAAATGTTCTAATGGCATATAATTTTATTAGAAGCAAACGTGACACATATTAGTTTATCCGGGGAGTGAGCGAGGCGAGTTAGGTACATAAGTTCAGCCAAGGTACATAAAGACACTTTGCTCGCCGACAATACGACTTACAATGAAACATACTTAAATATTGGAAATTATTTCAAATCAGGGGATCAGTTTGCTTTCTAGATGGCACTAAAGTTTTACCAAAAATGACGTTCAATTAAGGATAAATTTATTTCTCAGTAGAATTTAAAGAGATTTTGCGAATAAATACTTAATTTGTTGATTAGCACAAATTGGTTATTGCTGTTTTAATATATCAGACTGCGAGTCTAAGCATGCATGAGAATTTTCAGCGGCCACCACAGAAGTTGTAAATTATTTCCAAACGTCTTTTGCTTTATATTTGGTGACACATTCAAAATATTTTTTAAGCGGTTTAAAGCAAAAAATTGTCACACAAAAAAAGCCTGTTTTTATCTGATATCGTAC